CATAATACAACAAACGGAAGCAAACTAAATAATTATTTAAATTCAACACAATACAACAATCATCCACATTACAAATAATTATTCAAATCTTAAATAATGCAATACAATACTTGTGATGAGTACAAATACAAATGAATACAAAAAGGAGTCATTGTCCAACCCTTTGCTAATGGTGCTCAATGAGATCCTCGTGAAATTCAAAATGTGTGTCTTTCAGTCTCCTTGTATGTCTGAAGAAAAGCTCTAATGCGGTTAGGGTCTCTAACTGGTTTGACACGGTTACCCATATTGTCGTAGAAGAATTTCAAGTTCATTGCTCTCTCATCTTCAAGAATCATATTATGAAGGATAACACAGCATGTCATGATATTTTTCAAGGTTTTCTTATCCCAAAAATGAGCAGGACCACGGACAATGGCAAACCTAGATTGCAAAACACCGAATGCTCTTTCATTGTCTTTTCCGGCTGCCTCTTGCACCCTTGCAAATTCACACTGTTTTTTAGTTTTGGGTTCTTTGATGCTCTTGACAAATATGCACCAAGGAGGGTATATACCATCTGCAAGATAGTAGCCTTTTGTGTATTCATGCCCATTGATAGTGTAGTTGCAAACAGGAGCATCACCACTAGCAAGTCTAGCAAACAAATGAGACCGTTGCAAAACATTGATATCACTAAGAGTGCCCGACATACCAAAGAAGCAATGCCAAATTCATAAATCCTCGGATGCTACGGCCTCTAACACAATTGTTGCATCACGAGACTTGCCACAATACATTCCTTGCCATGTCTTCGGGCAATTTTTCCATGTCCAATGCATACAATCAATGCTACCTAGCATGCCAGGCCAACCTCTCCTTTCATTAGATGCCATCAATTTTTTTGTGTCATCCTTGTTGGGTGCCTGAAGATACTCAGGACCAAAGACACGGATGATCACTTTTGTAAATCTACGCACGAACTCAATTGTAGTATCTTCACCAATGCGAAGGTACTCATCGGCATAGTCAGCCGGAACGCCATATGCAATCACCCGCATAGCTGCGGAGATTTTTTGATATGCACTAAATCCCTTTAAGCCCGCAACATTTCTTCTTTGAGTAAAATACCGGCAATTTGCCTCGCAAGCTTGAACAATTTTCACAAAAAGAGATCGGCGCATTCGGTACCTTCTCCGGAAGAGGTGTAGTGGATTCCCAAGATGTAGGATTCTCCGCGAAGTACTCTTGCATCAATATCTCGTTCCCAAGATGACGATTCCGAGGAATGCAAAGACGCCCGACGGTCGATCCTCGCCTTCTCTTCCGGTTCTCGTCGTCGTGCTCCTTCACGACAAGTGCCATGACTAATGTCCGCTGCCGAAAGTTTGCAAGCATGGTCTCAACATCCGAGTCGTCCGAATCGGACGAATCGGTGAGCAAGAACTTCTCGCACGGGCTCAAATCCATCTACATGCATATCGGTGCGTCAATCAGCTATACCGCTTGCTCGCAAAAGTCACAAAATACGCACTAACCGATGGAGGATACGACGGCTGATCCCGGGCAGCGACGAGGGGCGGGCTCGACGGTGGTCGATCCCTGGCGGTGGTAGCAACGAGGGCGCCGCTCTTCTCGCCGGATCCGGGGGGTTGGTGCAGCGTGACAGTGCGCGAGGGTGGGGCACGACCCACAGCGCGATTCTGCCCGTAGATTTGGCCGGAATCGCCGGCGGCGAGCGGGCGGAAGCAAGGGCTGTCGGTGGCGGAAGGGGGTGGGGAAAATGTGCGCGGGCTAAAATGTTCCTTCCGCCAACTACTTCTCGGTGATGCAGGGCACCGCAGCTGCGGCGGGGAAACCCGCGTATTTGCGGGTTGGGGCCGAGATTTTGCCGCGCCCCCTAAAAGTTTTTACGGGCCTGGGCTATATGCGGGGTCTGATCGGGCAGGTTTTTTCGCCTCTACCCGCATTTTGGCGGTTATTTTCCGGGTCGGGGGCGCATACGGGGTCTCCTAGAGTTGCTCTAAGTATCAGGTGCCAACTCATAAATGCTTCCATGCTATCAACTTAAAAAATTGAATTTAGACATTTAAAAAAATATGAAAAAAGCATGGATGTCGATGACATATATGTAGACATCCCTAAAAATTCAGATCCAAAGTTGAAATATACACTGAAAAATAAAAAAGACAAATCTTTCATGAATAGTGTGAAAAGAAGACAAGCAAAAATGACACTATATGACACCATTCATGTTTGAATTTGTCATTTTTGTTTCTTCATGTGTATTTCGAATTTTAATCTGAGTTTTTGAGGGGTTGTCGACATAGGTGTTGTGAACATACATGATTATTTTTAATATTTTTTTTGAAATGTTTGTATTTGAAAATTTTAAATTGGTATCGTGGGAGCATGTGAGGGTTGGTATTACTGTATATTCTCCCGGTTGTGGAAATTATTTTTATACTTTTATATGTATATTTTTTAAGATAATTTATTTTTTTTATTTATCAAAAAGTTCTGATTATATTTTTTTTAGTTTCTCACATGATTGATTTATTATTTATAGCCTGGCATTTATTATTATTAATAACATGGCATTTTTCGTTTTTAAAAGGATGGCATTTTTTTTGTTAGTAAGAGGGTGATAATTTTAGTATTTAGAGGGTGAAATTTTAATTTTTAATGGTATGGCAGTTTTATTACTAAGAGCATGGCATTTTTATTAGTAATAGGATGGCACCTTTTTGTTTATTGTGAGGATGGCTTTTTTGTTATTAAGAGCATGACAAATTATTTTTTAGAGGATGCCATTTTTATTTTTAATAGCATGGTTGTTATCTTACTTAAAACACATTATTTTATTTTAATGGCATGGAATTTTTATTATTTGAAGTATGGCATTTATTGGAAATTGTATGTCATTTTTATTATTGAGAGGATGCATTTTTATTTTTGATGGCATGGCAATTTTATTATTTTAGAGGATGGTATTTTTTATTTTTTACACCATAATTGTTTTCTAATTTGCAAAAAAAGTTAAAAAAATTGGGTGATAACTTGAAAGGTGGCAACCTTAGTGGGTGTAAATAAATAGGCTCATTTTCAAAAAAGGAAAAAAATCCTACTATTTTTGTTGTTGGTGGCATTTTTTCTAAATAAAAAGTTAATTGCACCTCTCAGTTTGTCGGGGGTCAGGCTGGACCCCCCAATATAGTGAATGGTCAAGGGAGGCTGAAACATTCGCTATAGGGTGCCTCCCTGAGCAAAT